GAGTCGGGCGATCACCCCAGCCCGATCTCATCCGCAACGGGCACTGGGCACCCCGTAGTGCAAAGGAAGTGGTAGATCTAATTTCAGGTACGAATTGACCCCTTCGCGTCGTTATTTATTACAAGTATTTATTTGTAGTTGTGGAAGAAAATTTCGGTTATTTTTACCGAAATTAAATTATTTTTCCAACTTTTGCAGAAAATTGCCTAAATTTCGCAAATTCACAAAAATGGCAAAAGTTGTGCAAAAGTTGCGCTGAAGCCAAAAGTTGCGTACGCAACTTACGGGTTGCGGGCGCGAATTTCTCTGAGGACAGACAGTAATGGAGGATACTCTGTGGGCGGCACCGCACGCCTCATAGGAGCCCTCTCTCGCAGCGGAACTGTGGTCTACCTGCGCTACCTTTTCTGATCCACTGGCTTGATGGGGCTGCCTCAAGCGGACAATGACAGAGTGTGACACTGCAAGCCTTCTGGCAACTTCTCGGGGTCCAACTCCATCCTGCAGCCATGCCATAGCTCTGGCACGATCAAAGTCTCTCAGCTTTCGACTCGGTTTCATTATTGATGCGATACTCGAATTTGCGCCAACGGTGGCTTATATTGCCTCCAAAGTGAGCACAGTTCAAGACCGTACGTCCGTTTATGATGTGAACCAGGAATTTTAACTGAGGAATGGCCGTGGTGTTGCACACAAATCGATAAAAACAACAAATTTGGGTAAAATTCCTCAAGGATTTCCGTGCTGCACTTGGTGGTTTTGCCCCTTTAATTAGCTCTGCAGTACGCATTGGCGCATTGGTAACACTTTCAGAGGAAAAAAATAATAAAAAATATTGAAACATTCCTTGCTGTCTCTTTTCGGACCAAAAAAAAAGGTCAGGGCTGTCTGTCCAGGTGGTCCTTAACTTCTGTTGAAGTCTGTATCTTGCTAGTTTTCTAATGGTTCTGTCAAATTTTTCTTTATCTTTCACCCTACAATTCCCAGCCTAGTAGCAAATTTATGAAAAACACGGAGATCTGAAAAAGCCTCGTCGCCACTGAGCAGCGCCGAAAGCTTTCATTATGCATCATGTACATGTTATGTATAAAAATAATAGGGGCCTAGTAGATCTACATGAAGGTCTACAATAGATCTGCTTCTTCTTTTCTATCAAACATCTGTCGTCCTTTTATCTATTATCTCCCCTCCTTCATTTTTATGTTTGTTACTCTCTTGTAACACCTCTGATCTTCTGGCGCTCAAATGACCTTATGCAGTTGCGAGCACCGTAAAAACTCTACATGAACTAAAACAACAAAAATAGATCTACTACATGTATAATGTAGATCTTGTAACAAGATCCTGTCGATTGCGGTTGTTGAAAGTGCCGGGAGGGGATATGATCACGTAACATTTCAAATTTGGTTTATCATGAGTAGTTTCCCCTAGCACGATGTCACGAAATTAGCCCCTCTCCACGTTGTGTCGACAATTTCTTTATATGAGGTAATTCTGTTTTTGTTTAATTTTTTATTGTCGTCTTTTTGTTTGTTTGTTTGTTTGTTTTTTAATCGTAAAGTATTTGAAGTAAAGCTCAACTGTAATTGTAATGTCAAAATAAGTTGAAAAAGAAGTTAAACATCATCTTCATAATGTTCGCCCTTTCCACTAAGTTAATATGTCGGTATAAAAAGCTCCCCTCCCCTCCCGCCAACTCCCCCTCCTCCTCC